CCATAATGGCCATTGTAATTCTAGGTTGTCTCTAATAAAATTTTGACATTTTTGTAGATATTTCGCCAAGCTCTAGAACTTCTGAGACCATAGTTTTTAGACAAAATATGCAGGTGAGCCAGAAGGTGGCATGCTTAACTTTTTAGAATTTATGGATCTCTTTTTCTTTCTTTCTTTCTTTCTTTTTTTTTTTTCTTTTTAAAGCTAAATCTTTGGATCTCTCAGAGCCAAACGTATACCTAAAAGGGATGTGCTGCTACACTGGGGATTTTGTGATATTTTGCAGCGTACCTCATTGCACAGATATTTTGAGGTTGGCAGTGATATAGTGTCAATCTAATCCATTCTGCAGCCAATTTATACTAACGTGGGGATCTTTGAGTTAGTGGATGCTCTAACAGCTTTTAAGTGCTCAATATGTTCCTACCAATTTTTGCAGCTTCTTCGCTTCCAAGATCCCCATTAGCATTAGCCTTTACCCAAGACAAACAAACATGTATATCGTAGTATATTGGCAATAACTAAGAGATGTTACTGTGTCTTGGCCATGAGATAGTCCTGTGTGTACCACCAGTGATTTCCACCATGGAACCTTGGACTGGGGAAAGGATTAAACTAGCTGACACCAACAGATGGGGACTGGAGGCTCCACATCAGCGGGAAACTGCAGCTGCCAGTAACAGTTCCCACATGGGTCTTGGGACAGAATCAAGAACTGGGGGTTTCCACCAGTTAAGCCAGAATTCCAGCATGGAACTGGCTTGTAAGCCAATTAGATTGGGATTGTGCAGAGAGAGTGGAGCCCAGAATCAAGAGAAACTTACCCATGGCTCTTGGAAATGATGAAAAAGACCAAGAATTCAAGGGTTTGTGGGTACGACACCTGTTGCTTATTGTATCTGAATGCCATCAGAAATTTGCTTCAGATCCCACAGCTGCCACTAAATTGGTTAAAAACAAAATTCAGCTGAGTAAATTTAAAGATCAAATTGGCTTAATTCAGCGATTCATGAATCCAGCAGCATTCCATCTAGCAAATAGAAGCTTCTAAAAGCTTTACAGAATGAAAGACTTATGGGCAAAAAAGGACATGGACAAGGAAAGAACAGATTACCTTGCCTCTGATTGGTATTCCAGCTTGACTAGTTTAAGACTTCATTCCTGAGAGAAACTGAAATTGCAGTTAAGATAGGTGTCAAGTCCTGATTTGCTGATATGGGGCTAAGTACAAGTGACTCCATTTTAGTCCTGTTGTCTTTTTTTTTTTTTTTTAAGATTTTATTTATTTATTCAAGAGAGAGGCAGAGAGAGGCAGAGACATAGGTAGCGGGAGAGGCAGGCTCAATCCCAGGACCCTGGGATCACAACCTGACCCGAAGGCAGACACTCAACTACTGAACCACCCAGGTGCCCCCAAGCTTGCTGTCTTTTGAACAATTTTCAGTTGGAGTTATTATGCATAATACTAAAGTGAAGATTCTTGTACATCAGGTGAACCTATGACTTTATTAATATGCTAATTAATCCTGATCAAGCCAATTTTTATTAAGTTTCATTCTGAAAAAAGGAAAAGAAAAAAAAGTATAATTCTCTAAATTCTCTATCCTTATGCCTATCCACTTAATGACACTGGTAATGTGATGAGTTTTGTTCCAGCAGACAGTTAAATTACAAATAGATTACCTTGAATTTGTAGAGGGTATATTTTATGCTTTTAGGGTGGGTCTGTTTCAGTTTTACTCTGTAGTCATAGTCCTAGAAACATAGTGTTAAAAAATAAAAAGGTATAGGAATGCATAGGTGGCCCAGTTGGTTAAGTGTCTGATTCTTAATATCAGCTCAGGTCTTGATCTCAGGGTATGAGTTCAAGCCCCAGGTTAAGCTCCATGCCCCGCATGGAGCCTACTTAAAATTTGAAAAATAATAATAAAAAGGCAGGTCTTGGTGGAAAGCACAAAGTACTTAACCAAGTCCTTCTAACTCTTTGGGACTCCAAACTCAGTCTTCCCTGTAGCCAGGAAACAGCTGCTGAAATCTCTGGTTAATTCTTTCAGCCTTCTCAGCTATTGTTTTAGAGCCCTGCCCATTTGTTTGCAGAAGTTCCCTCCTCTGCAAATTCCTCCTTTTCACTCTTTCCTCCCCAACTTTGCAGCTGCTCTGGCAATCCTAAAAACTCCCGTCCTCAGATTCCTTGTGCTGATAAGACTATGGCTTTCTGCTTGAGTTCTAGATGGGTTTTAATGTCTGTACCAGAGAATATCTTTAGGGGGAAAACTCAATCAATTTGAATCTAATCCATTGTGGTTCCCTTCTTTCAAAGGTCTAATCCTTTCCATTTTCATTCCTGCATTTGGTCACGCTCTTCCCTTCAGACAGTTGGATTTTTTTTTGTTTTTTCCGTAGCTTATTATGTAATTGTTAGGCAGATGAATCTTATTTTAATGGTAGGTAAATCTGCCATTACCAAAATTGGAACCTCAGTAATTGGGGATTGAGCATGTAAAGTTTAAAAACATAAGTACAAATTATATTTAGTAAAGATGGAAAAGAGGTTATTTATAGTTGGAGGAAGTTGGATATAAAAGAAAATACTTCATAGAAAAGACTGATATTCATTGTAAACCATGAGAGATGGTTGGGATGGACTTCTCTATGCTGTATATTGGTCTTCCTCTATATTTCTAGTGGGAGGAACAGATTGAGCTGGTGGGAACATATAGGCTACATTTAGAGGAACACTTAGCAATCTGTTTGACTAGTTGGTTACCTCCAAGGGGCATAATTCAAAAGAAGACTAGAAAGTGGGTTCTGATCATATTGGAGAAGTGCTGGAATGCTAAAGTGTAGGAGATTTTGAATTTCATGTGGCAAACAGAGGAAACTATTTTAAGTTTTCTAGTTGGACAGTGAATTTGAAAATCAAACTAGGAAAATTAAGCTGACAACATGGTCAAGGGTAGATTGGAGTCAAGGAGGGAGAAGAAAGATTAGTTAGGAAAGTTGGTAGTTTGGGGAAAGGATAAGAAAGGGTGAACGCTGGTAGTGGCAACATACTTAGAAAAGAACTTCAAAATGTAGGTGATGGAGGATGAAAAGGATAGAAATGGAGTGCTGGAAAAATGTTGGCTTATTGATGCACATTGTTACTGTTCAACCTATGTGTGTAATTCTTCCTGAATAAAATGAGGAGAATAATAATGGCAATACCACCTTTGCAGAAAATGGAGCTTTGGCTCCTAATTTTTTCCTACAGTTTTTGTTTTGTTTCCTATTCTCAACGAAGCTAACATGAATGTCAGTGCTTATCAAATTACTGGATCAGAGGCTTCTAAGTGGTGCAGATAAGCGTCTGACTCTTGGTTTTGGCTCAGGCTGTGATCTCCAGACTGTAGGATTGAGCCCTGTGTTGGGCTCTGTGCTCAGTGGGGAGTCTGCTGGAGATTCTCCTTCTTCCTCTGCCCCTCCTGCTCTTTCTCTCTCTCTTTCATAAATAAATCTTTTTAAAAAATTACTGAATCATATTTATGTAGCCATTTTTGTTCTCAGTATATTTTATCCAAATTATCAACTGAGAAACCATTTGTGCATAAAGGAGAGGTCAATAAATTACTTGTTATTGGTACTAATATAGCTAACCAATGTATAAAGCATTTTTTCCTTACAAGGTGGGGGAGAGGACATGGTAAAAATACCTATCATTATGAGGATCTCAAAGGAGCCATAGTAGAGGACTAGAACTTCAGCAGCAATAATTTATGGATCTTAATTCCAGTGAGGGCTACTTCCCATAAATTCTCTCCCTATGTGTATCTCATATCTTCCCATTATCCACATTACTTTCTAAATCTTTACTTTTTTGCTTCCACATTTCTAAATGATGTTTCACAGAATGCTGTATTTGCCTTTGAGAGATTTATAATAAACTTTTAGAGCAAACAGTGTTCTACCTTTTTATAAATGTACTGATAAAAGTGATATTTCTGAAATAATATATTTTGTGCATTTTGTGAAGTTTCTATATAAACTTGGGTTCTTAAAAAATAATTTTATTTATTTGACACTGAAAGAGTGCGTATACGTGAACAAGCAGGGGGAGCAGCAGGGAGAGGGAGAAGCAGGCTCCTCTTGGAGCCAAGAGCCTGAGGTGGAGCTCCATCCCAGGACTCTGGGATCATTACCTGAGCCAAAGGCAGACACTTAACCAACTGAGCCACTCAGGCACCCAAGAAGTTTCCTTGTAGACTTGTAAACATTATCACAATCCTGTATTGAAGAACTCAATCAGATGTTAATTCTTGGAGCTTTAATTTTTCATCTGGTCATATGCTTAATTATTGTCTGTAATGCTGGAAGGTTCATTTAGAAGAGTGGGTGTTGTTGCCATCTATTTTTTAGGGTAATGATAGTACTGACAATTGCACTCACCAGTAAATTTCTTGATATTGAATTTATAAGGTCAATTTGAGAATTTTGTTGGGATTTTAAATATTCAATTCTATTATTTTTTCCTGAAGAGGTGAATAAATGATTTTATTAAAGCCCAAAAATTGCAGAATGTCTTTGCAGTTATAAATTTTTAAATTTGACTGTATAGTGTAGAAAATCTCAGTTTGGGATGCCTGGATGGCCCAGTGGTTGAGCGTCTGCCTTGGATTCAGGGCGTGATCCCAGAGTCCCAGGATCGAAATACCACATCAGGCTTCCTGCATGGATCCTGCTTCTCCCTCTGCCTAGGTCTCTGCCCATTTCTGTGTCTCTCATGAATAAATAAATAAAATCTTTAAAAAGAAAAAGAAAATCTCAGTTTAACATAGGAAAAGATATTCAAGGAGTTAACAGTTTTAAAATAAGATATTCCTTCAATAGTATACTTATCTGATATTGTACCATTTTATTTTCTAAACATTTACTGTATTTTAAACATGGTGTTTTTTTGTTTTGTTTTGTTTTTTAAAGCAAATTTAATGCTAAATCCTGGAAAAAAAAATTGTTTCTTACAGGGCTGACCCTTTGTCCAACATGGTTTTAACCTTCAGTACTAAAGAAGATGCAGCTGCCTTTGCAGAAAAAAATGGTATGTTTGGTCTGTTTTTGTTTTGCTTTGACAAATAAAATCAAGATATGATTTTATATTCTTGACCTTAATCAAAACCAGTCAGGGATATAGAATTTGAGTTGAGAGAAGTTTTGTAGTATATCTAATCCAGCGGTTTTTAGTTTTTTTTTTTAATACCATCAGAACATCTCCTCCCTCCAAAAAAAGTCTAAAATGGAATGCCCACATAACCTGTAAGAGCCAAAATGCTCTAATTTGAAATAGAGGCAAGGAGTAAAACTACTTCTACTCCTACCTTATTTAGGACTCCCTCTGCAAAAATCACTAACATTTAGTTTATAAACTCTAGTTGAACATCTCATAAGGCAGGCAGCCTATCCTAGTTTTGATACCTGTTTATTATTCTTACTCTGAGACAAAAATCTCCATCTATAATCTATAATGCTACCTAATGGCTCTTTGATTATTTGGAAAATAGTTATTGCTCCCTTATTCTCTGTAAAACTTCATGTAAGCCTAAATGTCTGTAGGCTACTTTTCTAGATATGATGGGTATAGTACCAAGCATAATCTCAACTCTGCAATTAGATTAATGCAGCCTAAGAGGGTATTAGTTTTTGAGGTAGCCACCTAAAACTATTGTTTATATTGATGTTCCTAAAACAAAAATGCAAACATTTTTTTTCTCATTATCTATTAAGCCATGCAACATGGTAGTGAAGAGAGGCTTTGGAGTCAGTCCAGTCTGAATTCTGATCCTTATTATGCCATTTGGAAGCTACATGATTTTGGGTTAATTTCATAATGGACTTTTTTTTCTTTGAAGTCATGATACTTAACTCATAGTGTACCTAGCCCAGTATCTCATACATGACAGATACTTGATAATTATTAGTTCTGACCCTTAGCTCTCTCCATCTGACATTTCTGCTGTATGTCTGTTGGATTTACAAGCACTAGTATGTATTTTTACCTAATGCATTCTTCTATTCTAAATGATCAGGTGAATTTGAATCTAAGTTATCTATTTGAATGAGATAATGTCTAAGTAAGCTGTTAATTTAAGGCAATATGTAAATGTAAAATATTATTAGTGTTATGTAACATATTTGACATATAAATGTGAAAGTACTATATATATAAAGCTTGTTATCTAAAATACTTGCCTTTTAGTATTTAGTGTTACATAGCTTATGATTAAGAGTGTGAAGCCAAACTGCCTGAGTTTAGATCCATGTTGCTCTTTTAGTATTTGTATGCCTTTGCACTTCCATTTTCTCCTACGTACAATGGGCATTGTTATAAGGATTGAAGTAGTTAATAAGTGTTTAGAGCATAGTTAAGTTATAATCGTTTATAAGTTTATCCTATTCTTTGTAGTAGACTTTTTAAAATCTAAAAACAAATTTAGTAAGTAAAGCTTCTTATTAAAACATGTTCTTGGCAGTTTCTAAATTTCTTAATTATATAATTATTCTCAAAGTGATCATAGTCTTTAAAATATTATTTTGATTTAAATTAAATTGCTTTTTAATTAAACTAATATAGCTTATCAAAAACAGTTCTATTAATGTTTTCCATCTTTGCAGCCTACCATATTTCATGTCTGACACCTTGAAAATTATTCATTTGAGGTCTGCAATGTGAGTTTAATAACAGGAAATCTAATTAAACTGTTAAATCTCTGGTTAATGTCTAAGTGGTCACCAGGACTACATGACTACAGTTGCCATGTGAATTGCAGGTGTGAACTAGTCTCTGCTGCTGTTGAAATCAGGTACTTTCCCACTCTGATTTCTGCTCCCTGGGCAAGAAAATTGAGGAACGTTATCAAAGTCAATAAACAGTATAACTTGAAAAAGCTTAGTGGGTAGTGTCGTATAATACTGCAGGCTAACAGTGGATCAGGAATTTTAACCTACAGTGTAGTAGGAATCATATCCATCTTAGCCACTGCCTTGTCTCCAACACGTCGCACAAAACCTATTTAATGCACATGCGATACGTGGTTAAATTACGGACTTTGTAAAATACATTTCTCTGCAAAAGGAATTTGAAGCTGATTATTCCACCCTTGAATTCACTATAATACTTGTGAGCTGCCTCATTTATTTAAGTCAGCAATATAAATCATTTTATGTAAAGAGACTTTATATAGATAGTCCTGTTTCTCTAGTTATTGAGGCAGCAAGTCTAAGCAAATCATTGAAATGGTACAGAATCATGGGATTGAGGATCTTTTCCAAATTACCCGCATCTTATCACATTCGGATTTGCCTCTCTTGGGTAGGTGAATAGTGGTGGGGACATACAAAAGGATCCACTCTCCACATCATTTTTTTATAAGGTAATGCTATTGAAGGTTGGATGAACCAATGTCCTGGTTAATGAAAGCATTAGAAAGAATTTAGAAGCACTAATATGTAACAACTATTGGATTGAGATTAGTAACTAGGATTCTCATTCCATAACTGTCTGCTTGCTATACAGGAGATCTTGAACAAGTCTTGTTTCACTACATTTAACCTTTGATAAACCGTATTCCTTCCTCTTTGAAATGAAAAGTTGGATTAGATAATACTCAAAAACTACAGGTTTAAGGAAATTAAGCTCATGGGCCAACTCATCCAGTTTTATTTCTTTACTTTATCCATTTTATGCTCTAGAGGGAAAATGTGTTTTTGTTGAATACAGATGATTCTGTGTTGATAATGAAAAAACCTGGCAAAGGTTATGCTGTATTTAGGAGTATTAAATGTTTGCCTTTTAGTAATGTCAAGAAATAGGAAGTTAGGGTAAAACTGCCTCAAGGAAAAGATAGTTTGTATACTCAGGGGCTATTTGAGAATCAGTACAATGAGGAACAAGGCTTCTTCGATGTAAAAAGGTGGTTTTATTAAAAGCACGGGAACAGGACCCACAGGGACAGGACCCAAAGCTCTGAGGTTGTACTGGGTGACTGATTATATACTTTCAGGTTGGGAAGGGGTAAGGGACAGCACAAGCCTCCAGAGTATTTTGGAAACAAGGTTTCCAGGATCCTGAGGGGGCTAGCTATTAGGAAAAGGTCATTTATTACTGTTTGGTAAAAACTCAGTCTTGAGACCTTTCAGATGTATGTCAGTGGGCCATATGTTTGCTAAGTATCTTGGGGGGTAGAGATAAAGGAAGTTTTCAAAGAAATATTTATATATTAAAGAAGACTTACAGGATCGTGGGGGTGGGGATAAGATTGCCTTTTGCGCTTAGCAAAGTGTCACCATCAAGGCAGCTAAGCTCTCTGAGGAAGGTCATTCTGCCTATTTCAAAGACTTTCAATAGGCTGTAGACAGTAAGGAAATTTAATTTTTTTCTTTTGCCTTTGTTTCCTTCATCAGTTAAGTCAGCACTGTCCAATACGGTAGCCACATGAGATTGTATAGCACTTGAAATGTGTCTAGTTCAAATTGAAAAGTGCAATAAGTGTAAAATATACATTGTATTTCAAAGACTTGGTATAAAAAAAACTTAAGTTTTTACATTGGTTACATATTTAAGTGATAACATTTTGGATATATATTGGGCTAGGAAAATACAATTAAAATAAGTGTTACATATTTCCTTAGTCATTTTTTTAAAGTGGCTATTAGAAAATTTAAAATTAAATTGAGGCACCTGGCTGGTTCAGTCAGAAGACTGTGCTGCTCTTGATCCTGGGCTCAGGAGTTCCAGCCCCACATTGGGTATAGAGATTACTTAAATGAACTTAAGAAAAGAAAAAAGAAAATTTAAAAGTATTTGTGTTTCACATTATGTTTATTGGACAGCACTGATCTATAGTACTTATTAGCAATGTACAGAATATACATTGTATACATATTCTGAATCACTAATACATATTCTATAGTGAATATCATAAATATGAAAACCTTATCCAACTTTGAAAACTTCACATTTTGTATTTTGAGAAATATAGTTCTATTCTTTACTCTTAGTATGAATCAAGGATAAGTGGAAACTCTTATGTTACACGTAATATAATAATGAAATAAAATAGCTAAAAGAGACCTATATTATACCACAAGATCCCATTAATCACCCGTTTTTCATTTCTTAACCATATAAGGTACTGTGCAGGTTCATCTTTTTATATAAGAATTTTATGTAAGAATATATAATTTCTGAGACTAAAAGAAGTTCTCTTCTTCCTGCTATTAATAACTCCTGTAACTACCCCCCTGCTTCTGTTTTGCTTAGGTCTCTCTTCTCACCATATCTCGCTTCTTCAGAGGGCTAATTCTGTGAAACTAGGGTATGGGAAAGGAGAAAAGACTGAATGCCCTCACTGTGGCTTTTCTCCCTGCTCCCTACCTTCCACTCCTCCAAGTCTTCTCAACCTCCCCCATACACACTAAGTAAAGAAAATATAAATACCCCTGTGTCTTTTGGCTTTAACCCCAGGGCCTCCTCCTGAAGGTCTCTCTTTGAGCTCAGCAAATATTCCAGAGGAACTCTTCAAAGATAACCTTTCTTTGTAAAAAGAGAAAAGAGTATCTGGGGTTTCCTCTGAAATGTAGATGAACCTCACTTTAGTTCTTTGTATACTGAAAAGACCTACCTTTCTCACCCATTGTGGCTTTTGTCTTTCCTAGTGTTTCCTTATAGGGTTGAGGGTGAGGGCGGGGAGGAGAAGGAAGCTGCATCTAGGAGAGCCGGAGAAGATGGTCGTGGAAAAATGTCAGTGGTAGAAGGCTAGGGTCTCCTACCATTTACATGCTAATGAAACCAGAAATGGCCTTTTCCCCGTTTGATCTGATTTGAAACTTTGTGACTTTCCTTTGGTAGGTCATTTTACCCCCTGTGTTTTTCTCATTGTTGTTAGCTGTAAAAACTCTTTGAAATTCTCAAAATAGAGGAGGGTTTCTTTCAGGAGTAGGAGGATAGAGGATAAACTGTGAAACTGCATTCTGTCCACAGTGGATCTATTGGGGAAGAAAACCCGCCTCTGAAGTAATAGAAGGTAGAAGCAGGGGAGGAAG